TGTTTTCATGAGTGTATGATCACCATAATATAAGAATAGAGGGGGAGCGGGTCCTCTTCCCTGAAGGTTGCCATCTTGAACTGCCATGTTTCTACAGTAGCCCAGAATGGACGAGTGGTGTTTAGTTAGTTAGTGGCAAACTGAAATCTGACCACTAGATGGCACTAAATCATACACACTGGTCCTTTAATCACATTATATATTTTTCTTGCTCAGTCGCTGCTATATATCACCACTGCCACTTTATCTTGTAACTTTATCTTTAATTTCTCTTCTAGTTTCTATTTTTACTACTATTCTTCTCGTGGTTTTATATAATATATTAAAAAATTTCTTTCCCTATCTGTATATATTTCCTTGTGCTGCTGCAAAAAACTAAATGTCTCCTCCTATCTGGGGATTAATAAAGGTTTATCTTATATAATTTGTTATTTGCGCTTTAAAAATACTTTTTTCTTGTTGTGCAAAACAAGCACAAGCAGTACAGCTACATGGTATGTTAACAGTAGTAACATTTTCTAAAGGTTTTGGGTCTGTTGACTCTGTTAGATATGTTCTGCTGGTTTGTGCTGACAGGTGAAGGTCTTCTGTTTATTGACAACAGCTGTGATTCATTAATGGTCTAATCCCACAAACACTCATTGAACAGATGGGATTCATCAAGTTTGTGCAGTTAGTTTCTGCTTCCAAAGTCCATTATTTTCCACCGTGATGGAGCGTTTTAAACTATTACTTCCAACTAAATAAATATAACGCAGCCTGAAAAACATTTTCATCCTGATCCTTTCACTGCACATGAGACTGTTTAAGCACTCTGTTCAGAGAAAAGGATTTAATCACTGTGAAGATGGAATGTGACGTTGCAGCAGGAGCTTCTGTGTTCAGTGACTGGCCCCTTTAAAAGACTGGGACTCACCTGAATCTTACAAACATCATTGTCATACTGAATGTCCACCACAGACTGCTGACCTCACTTCCTCCTCCGTCTCCTCTCAGGTGGGTCAGGGCTGCGCCACGGCTCTCGCTCTGCTCTTCGATAAGGACCAGAGTGTGAAGTTCGTCTTGGACCGGGACCTGGTAGAGGGAGGCCATGAGATGGTCTACTTCCACCCCATGACCAACGCTGCCACCATGGGGCTCCGACCAGACGACCTGCTGCGGTTCCTCAAGGAGACGGGCCACGAACCTGTCCTGGAGAGCTTCGAGTAGGGTGGGAAAGGAACCTGGAGCCAAACCGGGGTTAAAACCTGGATGAGAGCAGCCTGCAGGGACTGAACCTGACTCGTGTTGTTAGAACAGGACATGAAAAAGCCTGCAGCACATATGAACTCTGGTTCAGATGTTTAGAAATGATACAAAATGATACAATTACAACATGAATAAGAGGTGTCTAAAAGTTATGATTTAAAACAGAATGTGAACATTTTACTGCTTCAGTTACAGCTCTGCCAAAAATAATTTTAAGATTTTTAAAAGATGAAATGTTTTTGACAATTCATTAGACAGAAATTAGCAGTTTGTTTGTTAATTGTTACTTAGTAAAGCTCGTCTGTTTATTATTTAATGTTTTAGCTCAGTAAAAAACAACTGAAGACATCGTCATCAGTTTTTAGAATGATTTCTTCCTTCCACAGACAAGAACCTGGCAATACGATACATATCACAATACAGGGGTTACAATTAAAGCTGCAGTAGTTAATTTTTTATAAAATATTTGCTGAAACCTTCACTATATCCTGACAATACAACATGAGACAGGTAATCTGTGAAACAATCAGGTTTCTCTGGGTCCTCCTAGTGTTCCTAATGGCAAAAATGCACAGAAACTTAATTCTTAAAAGTTACCTACTGCAGCTTTAAATATATAGTGATATATTGCAGTGTGTGATAGTATTGCAATTTTTAAAAAGATAACATTTTAGGAAAGCTGTCATAGTACTGTTTTGGTCTCTATAGCTAATTATTCCCTTAATGACAGCTGTCCAGTCATCCACTAATCAGAAGGCGGTTTGATCCCCGGCTCCTCCCGCTGCATGTCGAAGTGTCCTTGAACAAGATACTTATAGTGTGATAGATAGTGTGAGTGAGTACGACTGAGTTAGTTTCCGTTTGATGGCCTTGAGTGTATGAATGTGTGTGAAAGGGCTAATGCAGCATGTAGTGTAAAAGCTCCTTAAGTAGTCAGAGGACTAGAAAGGTACTATACAAGTAGCAATCATTACACCTGTGATTTCCCTGCAATGACGTGCCAGAATGTCTATTGTGTAACCAGGCCACTGAGGAATGATGATAAGTGTGTAGTTCCCCTCGTCTCTTACGCCGTGAAGAATGGGCGTCGTCACATCCTGATTGACAAAGAGGGGAATGGACCGGAATGCTCTCAATCATCGTTGATGAGTCGGTCCCCAAGCCCTGTGCAACAGCTGATCAGAGTAACCTCTAATCAACCCAGAGGAATCACACATTCACATTCAGCTAAACTACATAGGAAAAAAAGGAAATTAAATGACAGCATGTATGAATAAATAAGGGACTGCTACACTAGTAACATCTAGCAAATGATAAAACATTTTTCAAAACATGAACATTTATTCAGATGTTCAAATTTGTTCACTTTTAGATTCTGTTGTTTTGTTTTTTAACTTAAAGCTGCAGTAGGTAACTTTTAAGAAAATATCTTTCTCTCATGTTTGCTGAAACTTTCACTATATCCTGACAGAACATAAGACAGATAATCTGTGAAACAAAAAACAACCTCTGGCTCCTCCTAGTGCTCCTTATGACATTTACAAGAATCCACCAGGCCTGAACGAAAACAACCAATCAGAGCTGAGAAAGATAGTCAATTGTTCAGTCTCATTCCCAGGTTGTCAAATATCGATGCTGGGAATGAGACTCAACAATGAGCCAATCCTATGTGTCTTTCCATATTACTTAGCTCTGATTGGTTGTTTTTGTTTAGACCCGGTGAAGTCCAAAGTGAACCTGTGTTTTACAGATTATCTGTCTCATGTACAAAGTTCTAACAAATATAACAAGAAGTCATTATTAAGCCCACAAGAGAAGTCTGAAGTAAAGAGAAAAAAAGTCAGACAGCCCTCTCTAATAATACATACATACATAGCCCTCTTTGGACTTCCACACTACCCATAAAAGTCCCAAACAGCCTTATTGTGAGATTAAGTTCCTTTAGAAGTTGACCTAATGATTGGTTTAAATAAGGAGCCGGAAAATGAGTTTGCGTTTATCAAATTATCTTCTGTTCTGAAATGTTTGTTCCACCGATACCACAAAAACGATGGGAGATTTCTCACTCAGAAAACACCTCATGAGATCTTGAATTCAATCATTCAATAAAGGTAATTTATCACTGTCAGTTAGGAGCTGCATTGTGGTATCATCACGCTAGAACCTTTCACATTAAACAAGTTAGGATCAGTGTTTATATCAGTGTGCAGAAATAAGAGAGGAGGAAGTATCTTGTGTTGTTTACTGCTTGTAAACAAACATTCAGTATCAATGCCCCCCTCCAAAATACGAGTTTTAACTTTCTTCGCAGTTATGTTATGATCCACTTCTTGACAACATGCAAACTAAAGCATAAACAATGGATGGAATTAAAGCTACATTCAGTAGAATTACCAGTGACCCAATATTATCAACAGTTTGAAACAAGTTAAACAATATCAAAAATGGTGGAAAACTGCATTCGACACTGATGAAGAACAGTAAGGGGAAAGCAGGAAATCAGTCTTTAAGCAGTCCTGCTTCACTCAAGTCTGGACAAATGGAGGACAAATGGATCCTCAGCCAGTCCTGGTGCTACTCCTCCAACAGAGGTGGAGGAGCGAGTTTAAGTTGGAAATTCTCTGTTCCTGGCTGGGCTGTGATTAGAAGCCCCGTCTTCTCACTGCTATGGCAGTGGGACAGCTCTGAAAGGATGGACAACTGGAAGATAGACAGAGAAAAAACACAACAATTAGAAAACATGACGTGTACAACACCAGGGTTCCCACTCTGTTTGAGAAATCTTTTTCCAGGAGTTTTCTTGACAGTAAAGGACAGCACTCACAAACGGTAATATAATTTACCGGTAGGCCTTGTACATGGTCAGCGTTTATTTGTGGTGTGAGTGGTTGTTCTCACCACAGATGATCGATCAGCAGCGCGGTCTCCAGACTACAGTTTACTACAGTTTTCCCTTTAACTTTAACATTAATTTGACCACGGCTCATAAGCAACAGTTAAAATCAAGTAGAATTTATTTTATTTTACAGAAAAGGTTCCTTCTAGAAAGCAAAAGTTAAAAATAAAGTTTTTATAAAATAAAATAAAATACAATTAACATCGCTGTTAATTTGTCTTGATCAAATAAATCGCTGCAAGTCTGCTTTGCGTCCACACTTGATTCATGGTTATTGGAATGGCCATCTGTGTTTCCAGGTTATGACTCTGGATCTTGGTGTTTGTATTTTAAAGCAATGTTACCATATAACTCGAGCAAATAGGTTGTTTTGCAGTTTTCACAGCAATATCAATGTTCTAACTGCTGATAAGGTTGGTATAATGCTATATGCCTGCTGCTTAAGCTGTGTACAGCGCTGTTCTGGCTGTGTAATGCTGCTGTAGGGCTGTACTGTTTGCAAGATTGACAAAAACTCAGATGTTCATATCATCTTAGATCTAAGTCAGATGACCACTGTGGATTATCTATATTGCTGAGCCTGTCTGTGTTGAAGAAGAAGAAAGATTTCTGTGATGTGTTTGGCTATGTGCGTGTTATCACTTAACGGACAGACAGGTGTGCATACCCTGGACGGCCCTCGGTATAAACAGCGTAGCTGATCCCAGGACTGTTCCTGCTGAAGGTCCAACGTTGCCTCAACAAACACCTGGACCACAACAAAGAACCAGATGTAGTCAAAGCATAGATATTAAGCTGGAATTTGTTACAATGCATACAGTGTGCTATAATACGATCTATTTATAGATGGACAGGTGATGGCAATAGGGTCTCCTTGTTCCTCAAGCAGCGGGATTCTAACATTTTACTTCCTGAAATAAGACAGGTTGTAATAAACTGGAAGTATCCTTCAAGGTTTCAGAGTGAAAGGCCTGACAGGAAAAACACATTTCAGCATAACCTTCAGCAGAGCCAAAGATGGCGGGCCACCAGCTGTTAGAACCTTACCTTCTTTCTGTCAGCCTCTGCTCCCACATCATGATGCACTGATGTAACTCGAGTCTGACAGAGAGAGAAGGAGACGGCTGTGTCAATACATTGTCTGTGCTTCCACTACAAGCAGTTTATTGTAACAAAATCCAACTGGCATGAAAAGAATCTGCTTTCACACGTTACCACTGGCTTCTTTTGGTTCAGCGCTATGTACAAAAGATCATCCTCTGCTACGTCACTGGTGTCATCGCTGTAAGGCAACTGAGCCAATCACGGCGGAGTGTGGCAAGCATGATTTCAAAAAAATGGACAAATATTGACAGATGGTAGCTTTACAGTAGGGGTGTAAGAAAATACTGATACACTTGAGTATACCAATTTTTTGTTTATGATCTTGTATAGATTCTCACTCAGACTTTATTCATATGGTGTGTTCTTTCTACAATTTTCCTTAAATTAGATTTCGCATTATATTGAATCTGAACCCCTGTATCATGATACGTATTGCATTGCCAGTCTGCCAGCTGTATTTATGTTTGCGGAGTGTGCGATCACATCCGTCTGTTAATGTTTTAATTACTACATAATAATAATCCTACAGTAGTTGCTAAACAGCTAAATTTTCTCAAAACACCTCATCATTCATTTTAAGGACAAAACACCAAACAACACCAGAAATGTTTCACAGGAGTGGGCGCCACTGAAAACCTTTGGGTGGCCGAACCTTGGTGGTGCCCCATCCACTGGCAGCAAGGAGGGTGATTCTGCCTCCACAACCTGCATTATGACTTTATTCTATTATTTATTTTCCCTGGCAATTCAGAGCTTTTTCCTCTTCTGCAACACACACCTGTGCCAGTGACGTGCTGCGGCCTCTGTTTGGCTCGGCAGAAGACCCTGCCCTTCCTCCTTGGCTGGAGGAACACTTGTAGCAGCTCCACCGCTGTTGTTGCTCTGAAGCGAAGCCCCACCCACAGTCCTTCTGCTGCAGACACTGGAAGTGGTACAGGTGGCCGCAGCTGAAGATACACACATAAAACACACATTAGCACCAAATATGTCACACTTTTTAAGATGTATAACAGGAACTGGCCCAGAGGCGCATTAACTTTACAAGCCACTTCATACTGTCACATTCCTATTTGTGATACCTGTAGACTGACCTAATTGAACTGTTTGAAAGAGAGATTTTGACTAAAATGTGAAGACTTTTGTTGAGTAAAACAAAAAATTAACAATCAAAATTATAATAAAACAACATAAGGATATGAGCAGACACACACACACACACACACACACACACACGATCTAAAACATCTGTGGCTTCACTGTCAATCACCTCCAGTGTGTGTTACCTGAACACAATGATCTCCTCTGCAGAGTCCTGCCTCCTCTTGTACTGCTGCAGGCAGATGTTACAGTAGTCCTGCCGTGGGTGGAGCCCTCTTGTGACGGCAGCGCGCAGGTGAGCCAGGGACCAGTGGAGGTCGTGGTTCAACAGACTGGTGGTTGTTTCAAGTAAAGTCTAAAACAGATAATATAGCATTATTAGAGGCCAATGTATTTATATTACCATTTTAATTATTATATGTCAATTTATTGCATATATTAATACATGTCTTTTTAAATGATGATTTTAAAATTTAAACAGGCAAACAATAAACAATTAAACTAATCCACAGTGGAACAGGAACACTCATCCTTCAGATTTTTTTCAGAGAGAGAGAGTGATTATTATTGGCTACTAGCTACATCCAATCTGACCAATGACAAAAGACGTGACTAAAAGCTCGGGAAAATTCATAATACATGGACCTTGTGACAAGAACTGTTGGTCCAAGGTTAATATTGAACCTTTATGCTCACTGTATATTATAGTTTACAGTAGTGGACACACACA